TGTTCTCAAAAATGCTGTTGGGATACCCTGGGGATGTATTGTAGATATACCCATAATAAACTATTGCAGTGTACATAATGACCTGCATATACTTACACAGAAAGGAGTGACTTATTCAGGTGAGCTAAATCTATAGTTGTCAATAGGATACAAAGAAAAATGTAGCATATTTACTCAGTTTCAAGACAAGGTTTTTTCCCCCCAATTAACATCTTTCATCTTGGAATCAAGTACATGGTATGGGGGAAGAGGGGGTAGGCAGCTACTATGGCTCTGGCTCAAACTCCAGCTCCAACCCTGGGTTGGGCTGGAGCCACAGCTGCTGTATGTCCCACTGCTTCCCCCACCACTTCCCCACCCCCAACCTGCCCAACTGTATGCCCCCACAACCACCATACCCACTGTGTGCCCCACCCCCAACATACCACTTGCCCTGCTAACACTGCTTTCCCTATTGCAGTGGTAATGGGGATAAATTTAAAAAGATCCTCCAATAATTATATTCTGTACATGGAAAATTGTAATAAATTCATACATTTTCCATGTACAGAATCTAATTTTTTGGGAGGTCATTTTAAATTCAGGGTGGAAACTGTGAAGACTAAGGTCCAACATGGGACATATGGGCCTAGAGTGGCCTGAGATGAGACTAGGGCTGAGGCCCACTGATGTGACATGGCATAACATCTTTAATAACATCTTTAATAACCATGAGTAAAGTCCACCAGACACCTAGTGCTGTGAGAATCACGGGGTCTGTGGTACTTTGGGTGAAGTGAGCCATCTCCTGACACAGATTCCCAAGAGACCTTCAAAGGTGTAGCAGCCGAGCAAGAAAGAAGGCTCACAGCAACTGAGTCCACAGACACTAGAAGGCCAGTAACGATGCTGAGATGCCTCTCAACCATACTCTGTAATAGTACATTATGGCATCAAGATCCCTATCATGATTAGGGTCCTCTTACTTTACCAACATGAGGGTTACAGCTATTGCTACATGAATAATAGAAGTGTGGCTCTGTTCATACCCATTTTTGCCTGTTCCTCTATTTAAGACTCCTGTTACGTATTGTTTTGGTGTTTTAAAGTCTGTGTAAAAGGATCCACTAGTTCCATGTGGAATTTCATTAAAATCATCTCCATCCTATCTAGGGCTGACCTAATGTCAGTGACCAAAATTTTAAGATATTTAGGTGTCTGAATCCCACTGGGAACAACTGCCTAAATTTCCATGTAAAAAGCTGGACCAAAGTTACTTGGGCTTTTAAATCACTTCAGTGATTTTGAGAATTTTACCTTTTCTCTGTATAGCTAACATTATGAAATGTTATAATAAGGATACTTGTGTAAGTCAGTATAAACTGTAGAACATACCCCAGATCAAATATGTAACCCCAAAATAGTAAATACAATGTAAACAGAGATATCACAAGGCAAACTTGGCATTTAAAGTGCCTCAAATTCATGTGCAAGCTGCTATACACTAAGATACAAGGGGTGGGTAGTTTTCTGGTTTTAGCATTTATATCCTACATAAATAGCAATGTTGAGCATGTAAACAGACCAATTAAAAGACAGTTAATTACATTTTAAAATATCTTTACTGTTATAACGGGCTGTTTGTGGAATCAATTTTTCTAGTCTTACATCTTGTTAAGTATAGGTATATCGAGTGGGTATAAAAGGGATCCCTGTTTCATTCTGAAAGTGTCTTCCAACCTTTCTGTGCCCATTTGACACAGATGCAATCACTCTTCTACACTGGAAACATGAAACATTCTGAGAATCAAATAGTACACCTAGCATGCTTGCAAAAAAACTTCTTGTCCAACATGTGAAAGGGGTCAAACATCTTTACATGTATGCCAAATTTCATTTGGATTGTGTCCACTGTGGACAAATATCAGCATAGTTTAATTTAACGTTGCACTAAACTCTAATTCAGGGATTGATCCTTTAAGCAGTTGTGACAATGGAATGTGACGGCTGTCAAAAGACCTTAGTTTTATTATGGACAAATTTGGCAAACTTAAGAGGAGTAGGTCAAGAAATCCTAACTTCCAGTCCCCTGATCTAACCACTGTATTTTTCACTCCTGGTATACAAATCCGACATTGATAAGGCTATTAGCCTATATTATGATATTCGATTTTTTTTAAAATTTATTTCTAGATGTAAGCCATTTGTAGACAACATGGGGATTTACTTTGCCCTCAATTAAAGCAGTGTTTTTTTTAAAAAAAGTTTCAATTCAGGGCAAAGTAACCCCCCATGTTGTGTACCCCCATGTTGGAGCCCAATCCTTACCTGCCTCTCCACGGGCGAGGAGGGGAAAGAAAGCTGCTGGCAAGCAGAGTTGTCCCTGAGCTGCGGAGAGGGGCTGGTGCTTCCCTCCGCAGCAACACCAGCCCCCCTCCAGGCAGCACCTGCCAGCAGGCACCCAGCTCGGGCAGTCCTGAGTGGCACCGCAGCCATGGAGGGAAGACTCCTACACAACTCAAGCAGGCAGGCAGGCTCTGGGGAAAAAAAAAATCAGGCTCGCCACTTCTTTTTTTCTTTCTGTGAAGCCTGCCTTCCTGGGCTGCTGTCGCACTGCCTACATGGTCTGCTTGCAGACCCCCTGAGCCACACGGAGCCCGGTGCTTCCCTCTGTGGCTGTAGGGTAGGAAACTAAAACTCCTCGGAGGTGTTTTACTTTTCAGGGAGGCATTTTACTTTGCAACACCCCAAAGTCATTTGATGCGTCCCAAAGACATTTAAGGCGCATTACGCCACTGAATGTGCTACAATGGCTGGAATTAATGCTCGATACACTGCCAAATTTGCAAACTCACGCAAACAGCAGTGCCATTAAAGTGGTGCAAAAGGCATTTAAGTTGCTTTAAACCCTCTTTAAAGTGTTGTCTACAAACAGCCTAAGACAGCTCAAAAATTAAACTTATATGTTTACATTGGTGTATTTTTGGAGGAAATCATAGATTCACCATGTCAGTACTTAGAAAATTGAGCTTGAAAATCATAAACTTTTCCATTCTGGAGTTTTATTTTGAAATATAAAGCAAAAATGTTTAGAATTTATCACATTCAACTGTTGGTGTATGCCTTGCCTACTGTTAGATACTTATGAGGAGGGACCTACCAAAATCACAGTGGAAGTGTACCTTGCAGCGGCTCGTTTAATCTTCCTGGTTTCGCCATGGCCCCCTGCACCTGTGATTGGCGAAAGGGCCCTGGCAGCCCCCCCACTTGCTGCTGATGGGCCAGGAGGCAAAAACCTCAGCATATTTAAAACCATGGATTTTGCCTCCCCTGAGATCAGTGGCATCTAAGGAGAACCTTATAATCTATACCATATTTATCCTCACAGCAGCTCTGCAAGGCAGGGAAAATAGCATTTTCCCTGTTTAGCTGATGGAAAATGGTAGCACAGAGAGATTATGGAAATTGCCTAAAGCAGGGGTTCTCAAACAGTGGGTTGCAACCCCCCGGAGCATCGCGAACAACTTAAAAGGGGGTCCAAACTTCTCTTCCCTTCCCAAAGTGCAAACACTCTGCCTGCTTCCCTCCCCCAGCAGTGACGCACGTGTTCTTGGACTCGCCCACATTGGAAGTGTCTCTTTTGTTTTCTAATCTCAGCAGGTACAGGTTAGTGGAGCTCACTATTTATCTGTCAACAGTTCAATTGACTGTGAGTGATTGAGAACGAGTGCAAAATCAATAGCTTTAATCATGGGGGTCACATACATTTATATATTACTTTACAGAGTCGTGGTATCGCAAAGTTTGAGAACACCTAGCCTAAGGTTATACAGGAAGTTTGTGGTGAAGCAGAGACTTGAATGCAGGTCAACCAAGCTCCAGTCTTATATATGAATGTCTGCATGTCCTTTCTTCCAACTGAGTCCCAGTCCTGACTGAGGCCTTTGGTCACTCCTATAATGGAAATAAACACAAACAGTCCATGTCATCTACTGTTCTTACAGCTGCTGTTATTGCTCTTCAAAATCAGCTTCAGTTAATACCCAGGCAGATATGTTCTGCTGTTTCCCCTGGCCACCTACACATTCATTCTCTGTCATTCTTCACATAATTTATTCATCTCAATTATTCATTGATAATTATTATATCTGTACCCATTAACTATTTAGTATTTTTCCTGGTACTTTTAGAAATATTTCAATGCATGAAAAAATAGTTAGGGCTTGGCAAGGGGGGCACCAGTCTCAGATGCTGATTTAGAGAGTGTACCAGAAAAGAAGCCCCCAAGGAATCAATGCCATGGTAGCAGCAGGGAAGGTCTTTGAGGGACTCTCAAGCACTCAGCACCTTCCCCAGTCCACCTCCCACTCTCTAGCACCTCTGCCCCTGGTGCCAAAATTGCTAGGTATGCCTCTGTTCTATGGGATGTAGATGTGTTAGGGAAATTAGATGCTAATTTCAGTGCAGTAGCAATTAGGAGAGCACTGGTCATAGAGCATGACCTCATGATTCCAGAGGATGTACAAAAACAACCAAAAGGACGATCCTTGAGCAAAGAAGTCATTCTCTGTGCTGCACAAAGCACCTTTAATTGAAGAGAAGATCCCTCCATCCCCGCTGTCATGGAGAGTCACCTGCTATTTTGTGTTTTGTGTTTCCATTCAGCTGCAGATTAGTAAGGTGCCAATCATGCAAAGACACATTCAACCTTGAGTTTGCGATTAGCCTTACCAATTTTAATGAACCTATTCATGTTAGGTTCATTAAGCATGCCCCAACATTTGGAGGAGCAGGACGAATAACTGTGTACGTGCTCTCTCTCTGTCGTCACACCATATTTCTTCTTTCTTTGTTGTTTACCTTCATTTGAAATAAAAAGGCTAAAATTCCATTTCCCTCACTGTTGGCTGCAACAACTGAGCAGGTAGTTTACATCAAGCAATGTCAATTTGTGCTGTTAAACCTTACATATCATTTAATATATCTGTTATCTTTTTTTGTTTCCTGTTGAATCTTTAAAGGTGGACAAGATGGCTAGTCTCTACAACATACATGTCCGTACAGGTTGCTTTTGCAATACAGGTGCCTGCCAGCAGCATTTGGGGATCAGCAATGAGGATATCAAAAGGAACCTTCAGGTCAGTACCAAATCCAAGTGAGGCTAAGGGAAATTACTGCAAAACAAGAGGAGTGAAAGGAAGAATATCTAGGCATGAGTGTGGACATCCATTTCCCCAGGGACAAGAAGCAACAGCATACATTGTGCTGCTGCTACTTGTCACCCAGTGAATACCTGTGCCATGGGCCCTCTGGCATGTGGCAGGTTACCCTGGGTGGGGTAGGGGAGCACTGTGTTGGCCCCAGCAGCCTTACCTGAGGTCCTGAGGGTGTCCTTGGGCTGCAGCAGCTGTGATCCTGCTGCTCAGAGCCTGGTGAGCCTGGCAGCCGGCCAGGCTCTGGTTTTGGGCGGCAACGCACTGCCCACGCATGTACCAGTCCACTTTTTTTTGTGCAGGTTTTTTTACCCCTGGATCTCCTGGGGTAAAAAAAGCACTTCACTGCTACATTGCAATGTGGAGAACAGCTGAATGTGTGAAGCACTGCAAACGTGTCCGTGGCACCACATACCACACAATCGCGCTCGTGTGGACATGGTCAGAGGATGCAAATCTTCTACATCTTGGCATCCAGTTGTTAGTTTCTGCAGGGCAATTTGTCTTATGTTCTACTTTCACTAAACTTTATCTTAACACTTCTTTACTCATGGTAGCTTTCCCCTGTAGTACTTGTATTATCAGTGATGCAGCAATATTAGAGCTGGGTGAAAAAGTTTTAGTAGCTTCATTTGCCATTTAAAGAAAGATGTTCTGATGCTTATTTTTCAACAGAAGAATTTCAAGCATTTCATTTTGACAAAGTCAAAATATTTTGTTTCAATAGTGCCATTTCAATTCAATTCAATTAGACTGTTATATTACACTAATTTATAACAGTTTAAATTTTGATAGGATTTATGTTAATCTTACTCCTCTGTTACTATATATATTGTATTTTATATTTGAATTACTAAAATGATGTTAATGAAAGTGTATGCTTCACAGTATTTAATTAAAACATTTGATGGCCCTAAATTATTTCTTTTTAAAGTTTTGTTTCATGCAAAATTTTGAGATTTTGGTTCTTTGTTTTGACCTGGATTTGGTCCAAGGGCCTTTGTACATGCCACAAAATCGGCCTTTAAAGCAGATTAAATGCCCTTTTCCACTACTTTAATGGCGTTGCTGTTTGCATGTTTGCAGCATATTCCACTTTAAATGACTTTGGTACCTAGCGAGATAAAACAGCTCCAAGGTATTTTCGTTTGCTACCTAACAAACTGAAACTGTGCACAGGACACTGGAAGCTGACCTGCTCAGGGTTTGGTGATCCTCGTGCAGCTCAGGGGCTGTGGGACCCGGCAGCAGCCTGTGCAGGTAGGGTCCACAGAAGGAAAAAAAAAAGCGGCAAGCCTGATCTTTTTTTTTTCCTCCCTGTCTCCCTGGAGCCTGCCTGCCTGCCTGAGCTGTGCAGGGCCCCAGTGCTTTCCTCCAATGCTGCAGGGGGGCCAGTGCTTCCCTCTGTGGCTTCAGCACCCCCAGGCTGGGTGCCAGCAGGCGGGTGCCGCCTGGGGGGTCCCTGCACAGCTCAAGGACCGCTTGGTCCATCAACAGCTCTCCCCCCACCGCTGCCAAAGAAGCAGGTACGGATCTGGCCCCCACCCTTGTGTACATGCCACGGGGGGTTGGGTTGGTTTCATTCTCCCTAAATTGAAGCAGTGTTTTTAAAAACCCACTGTTTCAATTTAAGGAGAACTAAACTGAATTAAACCCCCATGGCATGTGCAAGCAGCCCAAACGTCAGTACCCAAAGGTCACATCAATGGATGTATATCTAATGTCTTTAATTATCTAATAGTCTTTGCTAATGATCATAGTGATGGAGTTGGTCTTTCCATCTTGTAGGACAGTAGGGGCCAACCTTTTTGGAAGACATATCACAAATTAGCTCCACAACTTCTTTGAGTATCACTACAATTCCTTCCATCTGCCCAGACTGCTGCTCTGCTTTCTGCAACCTGTCCTGTGCTCCTTGCCCCACCTGCTGCTCTCCTTTCTGCTTCCTGCCATCTCTGCCATTGCGCTGCCTGCCCCCTCCCCACAGTCTGCCACGTGCATCATACACAAAGGCTACCCGGGCCACTGGTGACACATGTGCCATAGATTAGCCACCTCTGTTGTAAGTTATAGTCTGAAACAAAAATAAATCCTACCAAGAGAAAAAAGCACAAAAATGCACTGAGAGACTGAGATAATTATGTTAGCTTAGAGAATTATACGTATATACAGCATGTCTACCTAGATTACTAGTATGCTAGATGCGGGTAACAGATGCCATCTGTATCTGAACAAATTGCTTGCTCTGCCTTGTAACTGATATTTTCTACTAATTGGCATTAAAATTCTTAGTTAAGTATATAGCATATGTTATAATAAAACATGAGAGACTTCATGGTTGTAAACATGTCATCATTTGATATTACAATAAATATACTGGGAGAAAATCCAAAAGCTTATAAAAGGCACTTTAAAAAAATGATTGTACTGATCCATATTTTCCTTATAATTTCAAAAAGATCTCTTGATATGCTCCATAAATGTATGAGTGCTGAAATTATATGTCCAGAAGTTCTGATAAGAAGGAGTTCTCTACTCCCTCTAAAGATGAAAAGGGAAGAGAGCTTTGTTTACCATAGAAAGTTTTATTATTACATAGGCTTCCTGTCCAGACTTCCTTTTGTGACAGTTTGGGGAATCAAGGGCAGAGGTCCATTATAAACATGGCAGTAGCCCCCATCACACAGAGGAGAGATATGGCTGGTATCATGTCTGACCATCTTTGACTCCCAAAGAACCTATTTTACTCCTGGGTTGACTGGGATTGGCTCTCATTATGACACCATAGTGAAACTCAAATTCACTTCTATTGGGGCATCATGGCACAATTCTCCTGCTCTATCACCATGTCTCAATAGGGAGAGGTCTTCTGGCCAAGATCAGGCATGACGGGGGCATCCGAAGTCCCAAGCCTCCATACCTGGGACTTTCACTGTAGGGGGCCAGCCTGGATATGGGGACCATCTGAACTTCCAGGCCTGCAGGTCTGGGATTTATGTGTAGGATGTTGGCCCTGTTGAAAACATTTGGCCCATGGATACTTATAGCTATGGAACTTTGCTCTTGTGGATTTGGAATTGAAATGACTATTGGAATTTTGAGAATTGTCACTCTGCACTTAAAGATTTGATGGTTGCTTTGTCTGTTTTGTCCCTTTATTTAAAAAAAAACAAATTACTTGCATACATGAAAGTAGTGTTTGGTGAACTGTGACCTCTTCTGCTTCTTAAAATAAACCTCTTGTAAATAATCTAGTCAAACTCCAATTTTTATGTAGCAGAATGCATAAATAAATGAAAACCATGGAACAAAAACACCCACTACATTCGCCTACCCACATGCACGGTGCAGTGAGCTACCTGCCTGCAGTATGCTAGAAGAGCTTGCAGCTGGAGAGATGAAGGGGCCAAGGCCCCTGCTGGTGTGCATCCTCCAAGGTACACAGCCCCTGGCTGCTAAGAAGCTGGAGAGCACTGGCACAGGTTATCATGACTAGAGTTGGTTGGATATGTTTCAACAGAATGGTTTTTCATTGGACAATGCCATTAGTTGAAACATTTTTTTTTTTCAAAAGAAGATATTTTTCTTAGAAAGGTTTTGTGATGGAATGCTTCAATGATTGGACCAGAGAGAGACCAACTGTATAGCTCAGTGATGCTCACCCTAATTACAGGTCTAGAGGCCTAATTACAGGCTTATAGAGTCTCTCTTGAATGCATGCCCTTGCTTTCTAACTCTCTGTCTTTCTTTCCCCTTGACTAGGCATGCACAGACAGATAGGACTTGAGGAAGTGAATGAGTGTAGCGGGTTACAGGCTGCATCTCAAATTATATGCACTAACTGCCTGTATGCACACTCCTATCCTTCAGTAAACAAAAGCTAACCCATGGTAACTCACCTCTCTGAAACAACTACAATAGGTTAACTTCAAGCTAGTCAAAGTTAAGAGCATATTCATGGGCCCTTACCATGGAGGAGTTGGTGTTCTGCAAGTCCCCACCCTCATTTGTAACATGATAAACTTGTTCATGTGTAACCATGCCGGATGTATCATTATTTATAAAAACTGGAACATCTCTAAAAGGGAAAAATTAAGAGACCCATCCCAGAATAATTAATAAGCTATTGGTTAGGGATCTCTCTTGAAGATGTTCTTCATGAATCAGGTACAGCGGGTATTTAAAGCTGCATTACCCATGTCCTGGTTAGGGGCAAAGCAACCAAGCCGTTGTGGTGAGGGTGATTCTTGTTGGTTCTATATGCAAAAAAGTCTGAAAGGTCTCCATTTGGTCTCAGTGTGGATCAAGAAACTTTTCTGAAATCCCAATATTTTCCATGGGACAGGCAAATTATTTCCTGTTCATCTCTAATAGCATCTTCTCCATTTTTCCATTTTATTAACATATTTGCTATCTGTATTTGGGAACTGAATCTTAATGCTGGACTTTACAGTGTGATATAAAACTATGTAAAACAATAGAAGAAAGAAAATGAAAAGGCCATTCTAATAGTTCCGTGTCTTTTTCTTTTTCTTTCAAACTAGGCCGGCCACATGTGTGGAGATGACATAGATATAATTGATGGACGTCCCACTGGGTCTGTGAGAATATCATTTGGCTACATGTCCACATTTGAAGATGCACAAAACTTTCTAAAGTTCATTATAGCCACCCAACTCTCCAAAGCAGACATGAAGTTTCCCTCTCAACCTACTCCAACCAAGACTGTTACAGAGTCTGAAGAATCCCCCATGCAGAATGACCAAACTTCCTGTCACAATGCAGATGTGTTGTCAATGAAAACTATTATCGCAGACACTGGACCCTGGAATAACTCATCTGCAATGCTGAAGACTACCAGGTGGCAGCCACCAGAGACTGAATTGGAAAGGACCAGGGCTGCTGTTTTTGAGCGGGCAGTTCCTGTACACAGCAGTAGTAACAAGCCAATAAGTGTCACCAACATTTGCCTCTACCCAATCAAATCTTGTTCTGCATTTGAGGTACGTATTTGAAGTAATATTTAGAGATTTTTCTTTACTTTCCTTTTTAATGCTTTTCTTTGTTTGTCGGTAATATTGTGCATTAGTCTATAAGGGAAGTAGGTGGGATCGAGTTTATTATGGGAAGAGAGGACTCATTTTTTTCAAAATTGTAAGATCAGTGTCCTGCACAGTTAGGTGTTTTAAGGGACTTCCAATTTTAAGGGATTTTCTGAAGTTATGGAATGCACATTTCTTACATTTTTGTCTCTACAAAAATACAAATCTGTATCTAATGTGTAGTATTAAACAGGAATAGTCAGATTCTACAAAAATTCAAAGGAATTATAATAAAGTAATTAGTATGCTTTTAGAAAATGACATGTGATGGACTTGCAGGCATTGATGGGTATGCAGCAATTGAGAAGTAACTTGATTAACATGTTATAATTGAGAGGAGGCTGATTTACATTACAAAGAAATGTTATCATTAAAAATACATTTGCAACAGAAATATGACATTTAAGTGTTGCAGCACTATTTGAAAGTTCACTCTTTGAAGATTTTAATTGCTTTTTTGCCAAGTTAATAATATCCTCACCTTAGCTGTGACTTTTTTTTTTAAATAATGCATGATGAAATAGGTGTATGGTCTGAACAGTGACCTAGAATCTGACTTTGCTTCATGCCATGCTGGGGAGCAATTTAATGAATGTCAATAATGGAATAACTTTCCTTATGAAAACTTACCAGAGTAGGTCACTATCTCATATCGGAGTGAAAAATTGGGGTCAAAGCCAGGGACAATTCACCTGCATTTAAAATGTGGTTTCTCAAATGATACAATAATCATATTTTTTAAAAATGCCTCAAGGGGGTTAAGGGATTCAAGCAAACTGTAGCAAGGTATGACCAGGGAAGTCAACACACACACTAAAGTCTTGGATTTGCTTACAGTGAGCCCTGTCTTTAATTGAGAGGCGCAGCCTTAGAAAATAGGGGATAAACACCTTTAATTAGGTGTTGAGAAAAGTCAAAAGAAAAGGATGGCTTCCCATTTATTCAGGTGTTGTGGTTATTTGAGTTGCTGCCAGAATGATTTACTATTAAAATGCATCCATACACCACCAGGTGCAGTTAGGGTTAAATGGTAGTTTTAACAGAAGCCAGAGTTGTGCCACAGCACAGATCAGAGGTCTTGGGTTTAGGCATAGCTGTGCTGCATAGAGGAAAAGGAGGCATCATCCAGTTGTATCCCCAGATACAAGGAGAGGCTTGTGACCTCCCCTCCAAGCGCACGCTGGGGAGGTTGTCATCACTGTGGATGCCAAACTCATGCAGTCCCTGAGGAATAGAGCTATGATTGTGATAGTATAAGAGCTACAGAAGTAGATTCTTTGCAGTGTCTCTATACCTGTCACCAACAATCCCATAATGCCTGGTACACCGTATGCACAATTATAGCCAGACCCAAAAAGGGTTTGAGGTGCCTACATCACATTAAGAAACAGCTATTTAGGTACTGGGCATGTGCTGAGGGCCACTCCAAGATAGCCACATTACCTAATTTTGGGAAATTATCATCAGGGATCTGGGTTTCCCCTGATTAAAAAATTGCAAATTCTCTGATAAAAAAAATCTCAAATTCTCCAATAAACCCCTGCAAATCTGTGATTAAAATTAAAGAACCCACCACAGCCCTCCTGGCCCTGCTGGTGGCCCTCACTCCCCACCCACAGCCCCCTGGCCCAGCTCGTGGCTCTCACTCCCCCCGCAAAGCCTCCACAGCCTTACTGGTGCACTTCACCCTCCACCCACAGCCCTTGCTCCCCCAGCCCTGCCAGAGGGGCCCACCTGCCAGGGCTAGGGACCCAGCTGTTCAGCCTCCTGCCCCCACTCCCCCCTGCTGCAGGCTCAGGCTGGGGGGAGGTGCGGGGGGGGCTCCCTGACACTGCACACACTCCCAGGGGGCAGGAGGGGCCCACACCCTCCAGATCTGTGCCCTCCAGATCCGTACCCTCCAGATCTGTCCAGATCTGTGCACAGGGCAGGATTGGGAGTCTGTGCGGGCTGCACGCTGTGGCTCCCACCCTGCTGCCCTCCCCCATGGCCTCCACAGCCCAGCGGGTGCGTCCCGGCGCAACAGGGAGCAGTGGAGCCATGCAGAGAAGCTGCTCGCTGCTGCGAGCTCTGTGCTGCCCTGATGACACCCCCACATGTGCCCGGCTGCACTGAGTGCAGCAATATGGGGTTGTGCCCCAAAGCTGCCATGCACACAGGGCGCACATCACCAGGGCAGTGTGGAGCTCGCAGCAGCAAGCAGCTTCTCCACGCAGCTCTGCTGTTCCTTGCCATGCTGAGTCATGCATGCTGGACTGCGGAGGTCCCGAGGTGGGCAGCAGGGTGGGAGCCCAAGTCTGCATCTGCCCCCACCCCTACCCCCACACACAGATCTGGAGGGTGTGGGTCCCATGGCCCCATCCCACTCCCCGCTGGGGCCCTGCAGCCGTGCATTGTGGCCTCAAACCCCACGTACCACCCAGTTGCCCTCGCCAGCCGTGCCCAAATCCCTCCCTCCCTCCCTTCCTCTGGGGGCCTCAATTCCCTCTGTCCCTTCCCCACCAATTACCTGCAGGAGCTGCTCTGCAGGCTGCCTGGGGCCATGTGCATATATGTGCATATGCCCCCCCCCCCCCCTGATCACCCTCCTCCCACTCCCTCTCAGCCCCTTGCAGGCTGGAACTCTGCTGGCCTGCAGGTACTCCATTGCAAAACTACAAAATCCATGGGTTTCTCCAGTAAAATGAGAAATCCACGTTTGCCTCTGGTAAAGGGTAAAATCCACGTTTTACTTCATTTTCCTGCGACAAATAGAAAACCCAGATCCCTGGTTATCATGCACATGATGTGGGAGTGACTGGTTGTGATGTTCTTGATAGAAATATTCACAGATGCAGCAGAAGAGTATTAATATGCCTGAGAAGAAAAAGTAGTCTCAGTACTTACCGGCCACTAGCTAAGACCCCCACATGGAAAAATCAGTCAGTCAAGCAGGTAACCTCAGCAACATCAACATTTGTAAAAAGAATTAAAAGCTTTTTGTTCTCATTTTATTGCCAGTCAGGCACAGGAGAACATTTAAAAGCGTACTGTAACTTTATTTCTGCACAATTTTTTTCCAAATCAGAAGCAATTTCTTTGGCTGTCAATATGTCTTGGAAATCACCTAAGCTCATTCTAAATCCAGAAACTGTTTGGCCTCTTTTCTGTGGCTGCTGTGTTGAGTAGCTACTTCCTGAACCCGAATCATCACTAATTGCAGAGTGAGTCACTCTTCATAAGACTGGATGTGTCACTACTCCGCCTGTATCATTTTGAAGGGTAAAAGTGTCAAATGCCAGACTCCTTGGAGTTCGAAGTGAAACACCCAAAAAGATCTTCCCAAAATTAAATGAAGGGGAAATGAAATGCTGGCCTTTCAGCCTACCCTTGGAATGTCATTGTTTTGGCATCTCTGTGCTGTACCATGACAGAATTAGCTAATACAGAAAACGAAGGACTCTGCACATCTTCATATTGTGACAGTAGGGAGCACAAGTTGTCAACCCGTTTTTCTGCTTTCACAAATTCATAACTTTTCAAAGTGTGTAGAATTTAGATTGAAATTTCCCATGCTTGGTTAGTTGTTAGAAGGTAATTTTTAAAAAGAATTTCAGTATTTTTTTAATAAAGAGAAATTGTCCTCAGCCACACAGTAGTTACAAGAGGGTTACAATATTTTCTCACTTAATATTTTGAATCCCCTTTTTTCACAGTGGTAGGATAATTCCAAATGGACTGATATGAAAGTGGCTTAAATATTCAACAGTAGCAACTATATTCTTGGCTTATACCTAGATATTTGAAGTCATAATTATATAGGTTTGTAAATCCAGGCGTGAGGCTCAAGCCAGCATTGCAGGATTAGACCTCTGGCAAATATAGAAAATAAGCCTTAAGTATAAAGTACATGTTCTGCCATATTTACATTGTTTTAACTTTTTAGAAATGACAAATCAAGGATGTACCTGGAAAATTGCATTCAACTGGAATGCAGTCCCAGTTGCATTTTGGCAAATGTAAAACATAAGCCTTAAGTGTTGAGTATGTGCTGTGCCAGATTTAAATTTTAAAAAGTTTATAAAAATGATAAACCAAGGAGGTAAAATGGAAAATTGCATTAAAGGGAACACAGACCCTTTTCCATTAAAATCCCTTTTATTGTATTGAGGTTATTAAAGCTAAATTTGGTGAGCATGTGGCCAAACTCACCACAGTTTGATCTCCTGTAGGGGCAAGTACCTAAATATCTTCTCCTAACTCTGAAATCTGCCTAATTTATTTTTAGAGAAAATGAGTATGGCACATGAGGGTACTGTATTTTGGAAGTTGGAGAAGATACAAGTTAGAAGGGGTATCTGTAAACTTGGGGGGTGTTAATTAGTTCCTACTACTGTATTTGCACCTCCTAAAATGTGCTTGACAAGGAAAGAACATTTTATTGTTCAGTCCTCCTCTATGAATGTGTAACAGATCATAAAAAATAGAGGGTTCAGATGGAGTATGGGATTTCTAATGGAATTTTCTTGAAAGCTCTATTTTAATTTCCTTAGTTTTTTATTTAATTATTCTTCTCTGGTGCTTTTTCACCTTTAAACTCTTCCCCTCTTCATCCCTCTTTTCATAGGCACAGATATTTGCATTTTTAAATGCAAGTGTTTTATGTCCATGAATTTTGTATCATTGCTGAATGCCTCATGCTCAGTGAAAGATGTTAAGACTTTATACATTAATAACTTTGTTATTTTTGTAGTAGATTTCATGCTGTAAAAATTACCTAGGATCACCCAAGACTATAAAAATATGTTTTCATTTAAAATACAATTCAGATTTTCAGTTATGAGTGAAGAAACAAGACATACAAAGGACATGAACATACATTTCTTTTTTATTTGCATATTTAAAATCCGGTCATTCCGTTCCTTTGATACTTTCCAAACAGCATTAACCTTTAGGCTGATTTGCTTATAATTAGAAAAATAAATCAGACAATAAGCATTTTTAAAGAGCATTAAAAAACAGATTTTTCTCATGGAAAATGTGATGCGGCGGTACCTGTAAATTTACTAGCACTGTATTCCAGTCTTTACTTTCTTACTTTACTATTGTGCTGGAACTAACTCTTTTTGACTAAAGGCACGTATCCTGACTGAAAGCTTCTGCTTTTCATACATGTTTTATTTAGTTAAATCTATAAAGGTGCATATCTACCCTTCCTTCCAACTGACTTCAGACTAACATGACTAACTGTCTCTCAGTAGATCAGTGCCATGATCTGATTTTGAAAAGTCCTGATCTGTGCTGGCCTGAGGTCAGGAAGAAGGTAGTTCAGAGTAGCACCTCAGGGTACCTATACATGAGTATGGAGGCTGCTCCGATGTGCTGAAATTAGTGTGTTGGAGCAGACTCGATTAATCGCTAGAGTATGATAACTACCACACTCCAGCCTCCACATCTCATGTATCAGCATCCCCATGCTTCAAATTGGCAGTGGGGATGCTTTATCTAAAGCTCATCAAATGCTGATACACAAGATGCTCCCAGTGCTTTAATTAGAGTGTCTCTGATTCAGGCCGGGGCAGAAAATGAAGATGCTGTGTTACAAGATTAGCTAGCCTGGTGTGCTAACACTACAGGCTCTTCCTTAGAAGGACTATGGAAGAGCATGCCTCAGAAATGACAGTGCTTCTGGTTCTTTTGAGGACTTAGTACTCTCCCTTTCATCCATCCCAAGCAGCCCTAGGGAGAACAGGAATGGCTGAGCAGGGTTGCCCCTGCTGCATGCCAGCAGCTGTCATGCCCGGGGCTGACCCTACCAGGGAAGGGGTGGGGGAGATGTGCTCAGCCATGCCCTGGACCTAATCAGCGATGGCTCAGCCTAGGAAGCCTGCTGGAAGGTGTGCTGAAGCACCCTCAACTTACTGGCCTTGCCTAGTGCAGGCAGTCTGCATGCCCCCCACCACCAAAGGGCAAATCTGTGTTCTGGTCACAAGCAATCTAACCTAGGGCACTTCAAGTAAAGCGTGTAACATGGATTACTTCCACCTCAGGCTTTTTAAATGTCTGTACCTGGCCTAAGTCTCTCAGATTTTAGAGAGCTCTTGTATGTATGTTTTTTGAGGATGCATTGAAGCTTTGTTGCATACTGTAATGGAGCTAAAGCTCTTGTAATATGAGGTGTAGATAGCCAGGTCTTCTGGCTGCATATTCCAGTCAAATTAACTCAGAGTAACCAAAAATTCCAGCATTTCCAATGAACAAATTAAAAGAAAAAGCCAGTACCTTTGAACTGAGATTGTATAATCTCTCGGGTCTGATTTTTAAAAGAAGCCAGAGAGCCTCGTATATAGTTCAGAATCCTGTATTTTGATTAAACAAATGTCACCACTCCGGCTATTATGTAACTATCTAGCTCTTTACTAGCAGAAATGTATTTTGCTCATGATAGCAATCACTGAACACACTCAAAACTACCATATGTATACATAATCAGTATTGCTGATCAGTATTGCTAAAACAACGCTATTTTTAAGGGGCACTATCAGACTCCAAAATCACATTTCTGACCTACAGTTCTTTCTCATTATTGCTAAAAGGAGCACTTAAGATCATTGTAAAATAAGCAAATTGGCAAAAAAAAATCATTGTAGTGTGTATAATTGAGGTACATGACAACATGTTGGCCTAGATTTCTAAAACACTGCCTTTATTTCTTTCTTTATTTATTCATTTATTTATGATGCCTAGCTTGAGACACCTTACGAGGATCTGGTTATCAGAAAGTGCTGAAAATTCTTACTTACAGCTCCTCTATGTAGTCAGTTGGATTTCTATCAAAACACTCAGGGTGTTTTATGAGAACTTGATTTATTTTTTAAAGAATATTCTGAGCCTGAGGCCAGATTTTTCTTCCAGTACAGGCACATCATGAAGTGCACACACATATCTTAGAGTCCAACTTGGCCCTCGGTATTTTTTTATTTTTTTTGCTACATTATTCTTGCCAGTTAGGCTACTACTAATGACTTGGGCTGTCTCGTCAAATTTATGTGAAAATGCAACAAAGCTGCCTCCTGCTTAACTCTCCTAAATATTTTACTAGTACTCAAGAGTGCTCATGATCTGGGGTGATATATTTAAATGTCTGGCTTTCTGTTAAAAGAATTGTATTAACTTATTTTATCATTCAGAAGGGAAAAGCAATTATTAATACCACCCAAAGGCAGTACCAAAGTTGCTTTCTTTGGATTTAAAGATTGCCATCTGTACAGCATCAGTAACAGATGTTCTTTTCACCAGAAAAATGTACATACAAGGAATGACAATATGGTTGTATAGGCTATTGGATATAAAGAACATTATGGAAGTAATGAAAGAACAGACAGAATAGAATGGCCTGTGCAGCTGTTTATTGTAAGTAGAGCTGTACAAGACACCACACTCTCAACAATATCAAAAGCCTCAAAAACTGAAGTTAGATTTATAAAGTTCTTCTGGTTTCGCAGAAAAACACGGGCATTTGGTGAAACAACAACACTGACATTTTCAATGGTTTGAAAATTTAAAAATTTTCCTTTTAAAAATATTGATTTTTTTTTTTGCATTGGCACACATGCCTTTTTTGAAATCTCTCCTGCATAGATATGAAAAATGAAATGTTGGGGGTCCTAACTGTGGTCCAGGGAAGAAAGCAAGAACATTTCCCTTCAAGTGTCACAAATCTTATTCACTAGCTCATCGCAGCCCTCTTCTTGAATCTTAATATCTCAAAGCATGGTGTTAATGTCAGAAGTATTTGTATCAGTGCTCCTTTTTGTTCTGTCAACTCCCTGCAATAAGATCTTCATCTTTGATTGGAAAATAAAAGCTTCTGTCAACAAGGCTGACATTGACATGCACAAGATTTTCTGTTTCCATTTGAAAGGATTTCACTAATGGACAGCTGCATTTTCTTTTTCTTTTTCTTTGTTTTTTTTTGTTGGGGGGCGGATTGTGCAGTGAGAATCTATGACTAAAGATCTTTATTGAACAATTGATGTGACGTTTTCTTTCTCTTCATATTTTTTCCTGTCACTGAGCTAGGTTACACAGTGGCCTGTAGGAAACCAAGGATTGCTGTATGACCGTAATTGGATGCTTGTGAATCAGAATGGAGTTTGCATTACTCAGAAGCAGGAGCCTAGGCTCTGTCTGATACATCCCTCAATTGACCTAAAACAAAAGATTATGGTTATCAAAGCAGAAGGTTAGTAAGTAAATCCATTTCTCTTCCTTATTCATACTGATTTTTAAAAAATATATATGCAAATACTGAATGTCTTGAATCACTAATATTTGAAGGACAAGTTCTGCTTTTGCAGAGTGTACTGGAATGTGTGGTGTGTTTGACCGATAGAGGTCCATAGTGGCTTCCCGTAAGCAGTCACAAAAGCAGGTATCATGGGCAGAACTGGTGAACTCATAAATATGTATGGATGCTGCCCATCCTATCTCTGCACAATGCAGAAGACTGTAAGGACTAATGTAACTGAAGTTGAAAATTGTCATCTCCTAAGTATACAAAGATGAATTACTTTGAGTGTGGGAGGGAGACAAGATTTGCCATTTATTGACTAAATAGGAGGATTCATCAGTGACATCTGATATCACTGAAGTGATGACATGACCTTACATATTTTTTAGCTGATTACTTTACTTTCAAATAAAGGAAAACATTTCTTTATTATTGTACTTTCCTAGATTCATCCGTAAGTACAAAAGAGAGCCACGTTGCAGGGAGGGGTGAGACTGGGAGTCTGGAAATACTGCTCTTACTTGCTGGCATATGTTGTTCCTTTCACTAACCAAACAATTAACATGGAACTAAAGGGCAGGTATATATCCTTCAGTGTTCTTTATTAGAGTCTTGTTTGCATATGGCTGAACAGCATTTATCTTTTCCCTGGAGTCTCACATTTATCCAGCCTGTGCTGATCTATAAATAATATATGTGCCCATATTTGTGCAGCTAGACCAAAGTAAATTAACTCCTTTTTTTCCTGCTAAAAATTCACCATCATAATTTTTTCTCTTCTCTGGTAGATCTGCAACAAGTAGATCTCTCCTCAAAATGTGGTTTAAGAACCACATTAGATGTGAACCACTTTAGAGCCCCTTACCCGTACATGACTGAAGTCAATAGGTCAAGTGCAATAAGTCAAGTGCAGTACCACTTGAACCCTTCAGAAATGACCTGGCAGACCAAGGAATCTGACAAGAATTCTGCTTTATTCACTGTCTGAATTTTAACTGATCAGCATCAGTTAGAAATCATGAAACTCCACACAACAACCAGCTCCAGCTGACACTTGAGCTTCTTAATATGTCTCAGTCTCTCCTATCTCTCCTCTTCTGCTTTGGCTTTCCATACGGTTTCTAGCACCACCCTGATTTTTGCATCCATATGTAGTTTAAGAGGTCCATTTACTTTCAGCCCGATAGACCACTCTTCTTCTTCTGCAGTGGTGTCCACTGCTCCTGTGAAGAACAAATCTTAACCAACAGTGCTGTTTTCATTCTCTTTGTCCATTCTTTGTGCACTCTGCTGGATCTGGCAACTTTTGCTTAGTGATGTAATCCACTGCAGAGCCTGCATCTGTTTTCCAAATGCCAAGTATTATCTTGGCTTGCAGCATTTGCCACAGTGTGTGCAGCTCCGTGGTCTGTTTGTGTGGATTCTAGCTTTGAACACCATTTATCTTCCTACCTCATGTCTCTTCCTGTAGCAGTTGAGATTTGTTGTTGTACCCGCAGGTTTCAGATTGTATTCCCCTTCCATAAGCTTCAGTCTGGAGTGGGTAGCATCCTTTGCTTGGCAATTTCTAACTGCTTTGTCTCACCCTGCATTTTATTTTTCCTCTCCTAATCAAGATTTGGTCTTTTATCAAAGATCAAGCCCCCAAAAATCACAGCTGGCTTTTCAGTTTTAGAGTGGTCACAAACTCTTCTGTTTCCATCTTTTATTCTCCATTTAAAAACATGGAGTGCAGTACTCCTCACATTTCCATAATGCAGTGTCAGAGCCTCTTCTGCCTAAGTTAACTGAAAGGTATTAAAAATATCAAGGGCTTCAGAACCAACTGTCATCAGAAATAAACTTTCCTTTTTCTGTTTGTCTTTTTCCTGGCATCTGTTGCTTGCAGATACAGAGTGAAGCATCATGTCGTAGAATCATAGAGAAGTACAGCTGGAGGTTGTCTAGTCAGACCAATGCTTGAGGGAGCATCATTGCCATCCAAAAGTGTCATTCCCATCCATAATATAACCTCTTAGTAAAACTGCAGTCAACCCTGACACATCACAAGACATAACACCCTGACCTACCACTGGTAAAGCAGGAGGACCATGGCAGCCAACATCCTGCTTATGTAACAGGTTACTAATATATGCCCAAGAAATCCAGGTAGAGGACCATGCCCACCACTGCAGAGGAAGGCAAAAACCCCCACAGTCCATACCAGTCTATGGGGTAAAATTCCTTCCTGCTCTAAATGTTATTAGTCCGACCCTGAGTGGAGGGGCAAGACCCTCTAGCTAAGAACCTCTGGCTCTAAGTCCCAGCAGGAGCACTGGCACAACCCAGTCAAAATCCCCAGCCTTGGCTGCAGCCAACACCCAATGCCTCTGAGGAAAGCTTAAAAAAAAAACCCTGATACATGTAGCTGAAAGGTGAGGGATAGGGGATTCCCTCCCAGTTCCATATGGCAACCAGCAAAGCGCAGAAGCATGGGAAATACCCATGGTAGAACATAGCTGTGCATAGCTAATCCCCAACAGTGGCTGTCCAGCCTCTTCTTGAACACTTCCAGTGACATAGAGTCCACAACTTCCCTAGTCAGTCTACTCCTCTGCCTCACTATTTTAACAGTGAATATTTTTGCATTTGCCTTTTGTGCAGCTGCATCATACTGCAGATTCAGATTGAGTCTGTAATCTACCAAGACTCTCTATCTTTCTCCATAGTGCTAACATTCAGCCAGGTGTCACCCATTCTGTATTTGTATTTTATATTATTCTTTCTGAGCTGTAGCACCTTGCATTTGTCAGCACTGAACTTCATCCTCTTAGCTTCAGCCCAGCTTCCCAAACTGTTGAGATCTTTCTGAATTGCACACCTGTCCTCCATGTTCACAGTCCTTCCCAGTTTCTTGTCATTTGCAAACATTCTGAAGATTTCCATGCCAGCACCCAAATCATTAATAAACATGTTAAACAGCAGTGGGCCCAGGACAGACCCCTGTGGGACTTCACTCAAAACCTCCTGCCATTCTGACATGGATCCATTTATAATTACCCTTTGCTTGCAGCTATCAAGTCAATTGTCTATCTACCATATAGTAGTTTTGTCCAGCTCATATTTCTCCAATTTGTTTATGAGAAGGTCATGTAGGACCTTGTTCAAAGCCTTGCTGAATTTCAGATACTGTACATCCACATCATTACCTTCATCCACCCAAGTAGTTACTCTGTCAAAGATAGAGATTCAAGTTTGTTTGACATGATTTGTTCTTAATAAATCCATGCTGGTTGCTTGTGTTCAGTCTTTCCTCCTCCAGATGCTTGCAAATGGACTTCTTTAGGATATGTTCCAGTAACTTTCCAAGTATTGAGGTGAGGCTAAACTGTCTGTAGTTTCGTAGGCCCTCCTTTTTGCCTTTTTTATTTATCTTCCACTAGTTCTTCCCTGTTGGTCAGAACAAGACCCAAGATAGTTGATCCCCTAGTTGTATCCTTACCCTTCTGAAACAGAAAGTTGTCTTCCATGCAAGTGAGTACCTGGCTCAATGTTTTATGTTTGGCTGCATTGCTCTTCCAGCAGATGTCCAGAAAAATTGATGTCTCCCATCAATACCATCCCATAGTTCTTGGTTAGATTGTCACCTCTTTGAAGACATTCAAAAGGAAAACCTCACCTCCAAGGGATTTACTTTTGTTTTGTTCACTGAAGGTATTCTTTATAAAATGGAAAGAGCTGTTCTGTTTCTAAACCTTTGGCACATTTTCCTGTCAAGCACACCTGTTTAATTTAAACTTGCCCTGGCCTGCTTTAAAGTGCAAGGAGGGTATTTTCAAAAGCAAAAATTACTGATAGACACTGAAAGTCAATGGGATTTGGGGCCCTGATCTGAAATTATGCCTTTGAAAATCTTTCTCATCTTCTTCCAGGTTATTCCTGGAGATTTAGTAGTGTTTGAGCATTCATCTTTTGGAAGTCAGAGGACCCAATGGACCCAAATCCATGGAAACTGGAATGAAATGGGCTTCAACCAGTGTTAGAACATGTTAGAAATTCAGAAATTAACAAAAAAAATAAGTATGGATATTATATATGGCTTTTATTACCATCAATACATAAGAGTTTTTCTGGATCACTGTCTTTATTAATTCTGTAATAAGTATAGACAGTGATAATCCCAGATATTAGATATTTTGCAGTCCCATTAAGTGTTCTGGTTCATCTCTTTGCAACAGCAGTTCTATTCTCTAGCACCAATAATAGGCCTGCAATCTAGTAATCATTTTAAACTACTAAAACGAGGTTATATTTGCCATGTATTTCCAGATAATACTCAAGAGATTATCTTTAGCAAGGTACCCAGGTGATGGAGGTACAAATGAACTTGTAAGGAAGGCTGAATACATGCACCACTAAAAAATTCCTCCTGCTATTTAGCTTAATTTTTTCCTCTCTTAACTTTACCCTGTTATTCCTAACTGAATTCCATTGAACCATACAAGCTAACCACTCTCTTCTTGGTGTTTACACCCTTCAGATCTACAGAATGTTATTGACCATCACATTTTGTTCCATAATAAGGTTATTCTTATTCAATTTATTTAATCTTTCCTCATAAGTCTGTCTTTCAGGTTCTCAATCACATTTTCTTTTCTGCAGGACTTCCTCCAGCTGATCCATATTTTGTTGCTAATTTCATGTCTGATACTGAATGTATATTTCAGATGCAAATACTCACACCAGGTCTGTGCAAGGCATAACTGTTGTCTCTCTGTCCCTGTCTGAGGTGAATTTTCTAAGCATGCAGCTCAAAATTTCATTGGCCTGTTTCAATTCCCTATCATATTTCAAATTAATAATATTTAATTTGCTAACTAGAACCACCTCTAAGTCTCTTTCAGCATTATTGCTCTGAGGTTTTTTCCTACTGAATACCTCCCATGTAGATTATTTTTCCCCAAATGTACTATTGCACATCTTTCCAAGATAAGAGTTTTGTTTCTCCTTCCATATCCTCTGATCCCTTTGAATGACTTCTCTGTCCTTGCTAGTATGTGCTACTTTTCTTTGTTAAGTATCATGAACACATGGCATTGTTTCACTCTATCCTTTCTGTCACCTCATTAATGTGTAATCACAGGGCATGTGGTACCTTTAATATGACAGCGACATCGAGTTCTATCTTTTACTGAACCAGTCACAGTTGTCAGTGGTCCTATCCAGTGTGCAGAGGCATAACTAGGAAGCAGGGCAAGGAGGGGCAGAGTGGTAAGCTCTTACCTCCTTGCACAAGGGTCACCGGTGCTAGTGCAGCAACTACTGCAATGCTTTCTATAGCTCAGACCCATTCAGAAACTGAAGCTCAGCTTGTCAGTGTCTTGCTTTTAACAGTGTGCTTTGCTAGGAACATGTTATAGTGATATTTCACACATGGCCCTGACTCACTAGTGCTTTCTGTATAGAGTATAATAGATTGGTTTTGACTGATGAGCTCCTTTATGGTTTACAGTGCATCTCTTTCTGGTATAAATCTTCACCTGACAGTCCACCTCTCTCCTCATAAAATCCCACTACACATGGTCAGGTCAGAGCTTCCTTGATCTTGTTTAGGGTCCCATAACTTAGGCATTTTCTCTCCCATATTTCTAAATCAGTTAACCTGTGTAGCAGGCCAAAAACCTCCCATTTCATTGAAATCTTGGATTTCTAAGAACTATATTTTTAAATTTTGAGTCCCTCTTTTCTAAGATGATTGTTTTTTGGCTAACATTTGTCATGCTTTTCCATATGAAAATTGTATTGAATTTTCTTATAGTGAGACTGACTGATAAAGCAGTGATAACATGTTATGTATGCTTCTAGGGAAATGAGAATCTACTATATCTAGGCCTGACCCTACTTCCATTGAAGTCAATGGCTAAACTCCCATGGACTTAAAGGGAGCAGGGCCAGATCCTCCATTTGCAAAACCCTGCTGTGGGTGCACTGAGAAAAACAGTTAACATCTTTCTACGGTACCAAAGGCACAAGTTTTTCCTCCAGACTTGTACTGAAGGCTGTCCTAAATGACCATCTGTAAATGAATACCTGGTCACTCAGGCTGGGAAGCCAAAGGCAGCCTGCTAGCCACATGACAGCACTTGTGCACTCCTGGCTATTGAAACTAATCTTCACTACACTAACCTGATAAGGCCCTTGGGTTCTTTTTTGATTGCTTGTTGTGAAGCTAAAAAGAAACCTTTCTGTCTGCCTCTGTTAAATGCAGATGGCCTAATTCTGCTTGGTGTTACACCATTGTCAATCAGGAATGATTCTGCTGTGCAAGGACAATTTCTCTCTTTCCATTTTGGCTAGCAGTCTCTTCCAAGTTATGAATTAGTTTGTTATTGCACGAAAGCAGGAATTTTGAGAGTTGTGAAATCACTTTAAAACATTGGAACAAAAAGATGCGAACAAAACTGTGCAACTAATTACACTTTATGCAGTTTTTTCTCCCTTCAAAGCATAATGTATTACTGCCAATACAATTAATGGGAATTATGTGCACACACTGAGGAAAGAATATACATGAATAGTTTATATTTCAGTCTATTGAAATAGCAAGCTTCTAATTTTTGCCATTGACTCAGAATAGTTGCTATAAAGACAAGGGTTTTTTATATTAATACTGTGAAAACATCTGTGAATTTTATCATCAAGCAAATGACCATGGAGAATGACAGCTTTTACATTTTAGTAACTAGAAATATTCTACTTTTTTGCCTTCAAATGGAATAAAGTTATAATTAACAACTTTAGCCTACCCTGAGTATTGCTGTCAAATGTGCATTTTACAGTCAGTGAGATAAATTTCCTGAAGTTCAGAATAAAAGATCTAGAAAGCCTCGAAACCCCAACTGAAGAAATTGCATGTGTGTTCCTTGTTTAGACTTATTTTGATAAGGGTTTGTAGCTAGACTAATTTCCTTTTCCCAACTCATATTTTATTTTCCCACAGTGGAAAAAACAATAAACCAAAAACAAAACAAACAGGGAAGAAAACAAAAGGAATCATACAAGGGCATTCATTTCCTTTACTCATCAGATAATTATAATTATAATGACCCTTTTCCCTGTTGCAAGTGGGTTAAGTGGCTTCTTTGTTTTACAAGCATGTCCAACTTTTCCTCTCTCATCTTAAGTGCAAGTCAAACAAGCTTTCAATGGTGCTGAAGTTAAGAAATAACAAAAACCTTTGTGTTTTGAAAATGCATAAGGGAAAAGAGCAGCTAATATCAGTTACATTTCCCTGATCTTTAAAATGAAACAAAACTGATTATTTTTCCATACACAGAGTTAAGGCAATGTGAGTCTCCTCTTAGTTACAGTTATAAATAAGAAGTAGCTTAAGTGCAGCTTTATTATTGTGAAATGGGTGCACATGAGATCAGAAATATTGTTAGCTTATGTGGAAGTATAAGGGAGAGTAATACGGGTTCATTACAACCAGCCAGGAAAAACCTTTGTTTGTTTTTTGTTTTCACTTAAAAAGGGCAATACTGGGAAGTTCTTTTCTCTAATAAATCAACATGACATGTTCCTTCTTTCAGCCCATAGCATTCAGGATTTTAGTAAATTCTTAACAAGATGTATCATTCTGTTAAATCCAAATAAATATGTTCATAGGAGATATTTTACTCATTAGCATTTTCCATTCTTTTGGTCTTTTCTTAGGTATGTAGTTTTGTGACAATTCTACTGCATTCTTGAACAGTGTGCATGTTTTTCTTTTATTTCTGCATATTCCATCTCTCTCTCTCTGTCTCTCAAAAAAGAACGATTAAACCCGTGTCCTGATTTACTAAAGGCAGCACAACTGTGATAAGCCTTTCCTTTCCACAACAGCCATGATTACTGCAGTAATTTTTTGCCAAGCCGAATGTATGAGATACACAGGGAATAAAGTTACTAAAAGCTGAAATTGTATATTGGTTAATGCATTTTGGGTACCAAGGTCATCCAAAGCCTTTGTTTTTGCATTATCATTTGGAGCCACCTGCAGGCACAGAATATAATGCTGTCAAAAGTGGGGCGAGTTTGTCAATGTTTGTGATCATGTATGTGCAGGAAGGAAAGATGCAATTTATTTGTAAAGTATGATTCTACAAAAATGTTTTTCTCATGACTTGCACTCTATCCATATAGGAATGGACCCCATAGCTATACCTCTAGAGGAAAACCTGGAAAAAGAGAGACAGATCTGTCAGAGCAAAGTCTGTGCACATAGGTAAGTGAGAAGAGAAGGATATCAGAAAAACTATGATAGTGGGGACAGCTCAGAGTGACCTTATGTAATGCAATGTCATAAGCTCTATGATAGTCTAGGAGGCTTGGCATAAACATAATTCAGGAAGGGAAAAAACAGTCAATGATTTAATGAAACATCCAGGTAAATTAAAGAAAGTTTTGAAGAGATGTGGCTGTGATAGTCCAGGAAATAAGCAAGAGGCAAGGATTTTTGTGGGTTATATTTTCTATTGGACAAATGGCAAGGTTGGGATAAACTTAGACAAGCTTTTGGATGCAGTGCATTCTTCTTCAGGCCAGATAGATGATATTGTGTTAAAAAATAGCACACAGCGCAGTTCTGTGCAAATAAATAATTATAGATATATTTTATAAAATCCTATTTTGACAATTTTGCATCCAATAGAACAGAAAATATCTTTTTTTGGTTTGTTCTCACAAAACTGTCAGTCAGAAAAAAATGAAAAGACCCTATACATTTTCACGTGTCATGTGGCTAGTCAAATAGGTGTGTTTTATTTCGTTTACATTACAATAACTTTTCCTATTTCAGGTTGCATTGTTTCACATTTTTGAGATCCCAATCATTTTTTTTTCATATTTACAGCACCTTTTAATTTTGTTTTGAGTGTGAATGGGATCACTCTTCAGTTAACTTTCTTTGGAAGGTTATTAATGATATATTGAATACTATTAGCTTCTAAGCCATTCTATAAAACAACTAACATATTACCTCACTATAATGTAACACTACTATTATTAATCATTCAATTTCCTTTTAGTAAGCTACATGTTTTTCCACCATGTTGTAGAATGACCTTTAAAACAAATATTTGCCAATCTCAGTAAATAGTCCTGTGCTGGATGGCTTGCTAAAATGTATACGCATTACATACTTAATTCCATTTATGCAGCAAAGACTGACTGTTAGTATATCCAAGGGACCCATTTCCAAGAATATATTATTGATATACATTTTAATCCTCCCCCTTTTCACATTTGCTACTCAACATAATACATGGTAACAACCTAACAGAGGACATGAGTTACCCTCTCACAGGGCCATGACGGGCAGTACCTTGCGCTTCAGTGATGTCCTGAGTGCTAAACCTGACTGCTGCAGAGGGAAAAAGAGACCCCTTTTTCCCCCCAATTTACTTTCCAAAGCTACAAAAAGGATTTTGCTTCTTGGTTTGTTAAATTAATCTTTTTGTGTCTATGCTTCATGTAACCAGGCTCATTTAGCTTTGGCCCATTCTTTTAAATTTCTCCTCCCTGAAATCCATTCTCCATGGATCTGTATTCATAATTACAGAATTTCTCTCTAGCATGTGGTGGCAATGACAAAATGGTCAAGGCATCTTGCCATGGCTCCAGACATCTCACTTTGGGCTCATACAGAAGTCTGCCCTAATGAACCCAGCTGTCAATTGGTATCTAATGTTTTGTATTATGGAGTCAGAAGCAGCTGGATGTGAATTCTGCTGTATAACTCCATCATGTGCTATTGGCTACCCATGCAAGCTTCTGCCCCTTCTACCTTGAGTATTAGGGAATTATCCTCCATTTGATTAAAGAAACACACACAAAAAATATACTTTTTCTGCTAGTGGCAGTTTTCCAAACAAATATTTGTGTTGTGGACATCACCAAGAGTCATTTGTTACAATCACTTGTCCCACTTCCCATAGTCTTGACTCATCTTTATCCTCCTTGTGGTAAATCCATCTCTAACAGACCTTGGATGCATAATGTCCTCTGTTACTTTCTCTCTCTTTCCTTCATGTCATTGACTGTATTTTGTGTTACTGTATGAAAAGGGAAATTTTCATGGGATATTGTTCCATGGTCTGAGGAGAGAAACCAGGAAGGTAAGTATACAGAGTCAGTCAGGACCAATAGGCAAAAGATAAGGGCAGTAAGAATGAATTAAATGAATGAGGTTTCTGAGTCCAGCAGGCAGGGTACAGACATTACACTTTTACTGGTATAAGTGATCAGAAACTTGTCTATACCCATAACAGAACAGAAGTTCGGCACACGAAACTGGTCTCTACCCGTAACAGAGCAGAAGTTTGTCACAAATAGATTGGTAAAAAAACAGTGGAGCCTGGTCGAAGGTGTGCCCCCAGTTCCTCCCTCAAGGGCGAATATGTGTTCTGTTTGCTATTGATCTAAACTATGCTGCTTACAAAAAAACACGTAACTTAGATCAATTTCACCTCAGGCTTTTTGAATGTCTGTACCTAGCCCCAGAGACCCAGTCGTCTTACTTCTAAGTTTCGTGGTTCCCTGCAGGAAGTCTGACAGCTCTTCAAACATTGGCAAACTGAGGCTCCAGGCTCAGCAGCATCTCATCAGGCAGGCTGCTAGAGATTCAGAAAGCTGACAGGAAAACAAGCCAGCATCCTTCATAAGATTGAATAAAATCAGCATGGCCCAGCAAAAGAGTTAGATTTCATCTAATCAGCATTCCTCAACAGAAAAATATCAGAAGGAATTGGTAAAAAAGAGCAAAGTTAATTCAGCCTGATTATAAGTGACTTCCCACTGAGATCAGCCTTCAGTCTTTGGTCCTTTTGTCCAGTCCAGGCAGTATCTACCTAGAGAAATCAGTCATAAAGTACTGAAGCTACATTGTGTTGATGTATAATGCAATGAGTGATAGCAGACAGCAAGTTATGTTTGAAAGTATGAGCTGCTTTATCAATTGACAAGGAACAGGTTAAGAAGAGAAGAAACAAGCTGAATTCAGCCTGTTGTGGGTGAATGCAAGTGGCTTCCCCCGGGATCAGTATTCAGACTTTGACTGTCCTTGTTTCTCAGTCTATAAATTACTTCACTAGAGGGACCAGCTATAAAGCACTGAAGCTAAATTTGTTGATGACACAACAGTGGGATGAGTAGTGAGCACAAATAAAGTACAAGTAAAATTTGAAAGAATTAGGACCTACTTTATAAATTGGCTGACATGTGCCAAATGAAATGTAATGTTGACAAATGTAAAGTAATACTCAAAGAAAATAAACACAAGAACAAAATGAATGGAATTGAACTACCACAGGAGGACTTCGAAAAGGACCTTGAAGAGACAATGGAGTTCACTTAGAAAATATTTAGACAATAAGGGAAAGTAATTTGAAAAGCCAGGTGATTCAGAATACACAAACTACAAAGTGACCTTGAATGGAGTACTTGAATTCAGCATATCTACAGCAATTTAAAATTTTGTAGGTAGACAGGAAGTAAGACTGCTTCATATGGTAGTTTATGGTTCCTAAGCCATTGAAGGTCTGTTCCCTACCCACTCTTTTTGCAAGAAGCATTTGGGCAGGAAAAGGAACTTGCATAAATGAATTCCCCACTCTGTCTCAACCTCTACTGCAGCAGCCTTATATGTTGTTCTCAGCCTCTTTCACTCTGCCATTGAGGCTGTGGAGGATACAGAAATGCTACTGCTTTGGGACATTATCAGAATGGTTTTGAAAATATAAATAGTTGCTTGCATTGAAGATGGAAGTGAATCACAGGAGGTTTGCTAAGGTAAAAGGCAGTGTTTACTTCCAAAAGTCTTCTCCTTCAAATATTAGAATACATGTTATAGTCAAGGGAAAGACAGCACACATTTCACTTTGCTCATGAATATGATTTCCCACTCATTTCACAACTGGTGAGAGTTTTCACAGTTATCTGATGGACACTTAACTTTAACAAACCAGCTGGCTGACATGAATGTGTAAAGAATACAGTAGCAAACACTTTCATGGATCGCAAAACTGGCTTTAGGGACAATGGTGCCCTGGGTGAACTGGTATTTTGGTGCCTCCCTCAGCCCCCTGGTCAGCAGCACTGCCGTAGGCAGAGGCAGGTGGGCTGGGACACAGAGTGCAGTCCAGTAGGTAGGCAGAGCTACCTGTACTGCCTGGCTTAGCTCCTCCTGAGCAGTGGCTGGAGGTATGAGGGTGGGCTGGGAAGTGTGGGCAGCTGTGCCTCCCCACCAGACTGCACCCCACATCCCTGCCCCCTTGCCTCTGCCTGCAGCAGCGCCTCTGACTTAGGGAAGCTGGGTACTGCTCTGTATGTGTATGTGTGTGTGGTGCCCCACTGACCATGGTGCCCTGGATAGTTGCCCATGTTGCCTACCCCTAAGGCCGGCTCTGCATGGAAGGGAAATATAACATGATTGGGACTTGGAAGCTTGAGTAAAATCCAAACACAGTGCACCTGAATAGCTAGTATGTTTTCTAGCATGACGTTTAAAATTTAGAATCACAAATGTAGAGAAATGCAATCCCTGAGGAGCTAGAGATCCTGCTTTCTTTGTTAAGGACTTTTATATCTGCATGATTTAAGTGAACTAAAAGCAACTTTGTGAAGCCAAACTCCGTCCATTCTCAAACCCAGAATTTAGCATCTTCTTTTGCTGAGAAAAATACTTTTCTCACTTTATGAAGCAGATCACTTGTATTGAGACTAGCTTCTCTGGATTGAAGGAATACCAACGTGAGTAAATATCAAAGCCACCATGTTCTTCTAAGAATTCTTCATGTGTAGTCATGAGGATACAAACAGGGATTTCTCAGGGGCTCATCCAGATCCTTCCCAAATCATGAGAGATCATTTCCTAGGGAAGATTATAAAAATTCCCAGGTGAAGGAAAACATTTGCAGCTGACTCTGAAGAATACAGTAGTTGCATTAATATAAAAAAACTCCACTAAATGATAGAAAAACTTTTCTCTCTAACACTTTATTACTGCTTACTTGCTTAGATAACAGTTAAGTTCCATTTTCAAAGGGTGTGTTTAATATATGTATTAGCATGGGTTAAATTAGATCATTCTCAATGCTGCAACTGGTGGACCATTTAAAAATCATGATTGCTGACCCAGTAGTAAATACAGTGGTGATTATGCTAACCTGAGCTTAAAATAACCAATGAACCAAACAAACAAAAAATGGAAAACCAAAAATTCCAAACTCCTGTAAAACACATTTGTTTCAGTTAAAATACTGGGACAGGGAAGCTTTTGTTCTAACATCTTCTGACTTAATGAGATTCCCCTAGATGCTTCTTCCTATTATTTATTGCTATTATTAAATATTATTATATTCCCTTAGCCTCTAGGTGATACAAGTAATAAAAGATCAGCTCCTCTCATATTTTTGGCCTAGTTTTGACCACTGCTAAAGGCAAATACCTAGCACATTGAAAAGATGTATTGTTTCAATTTAGAGGAAAAATTTCCATAATTTTTTTTCACAGAAAACTGATTAGTCCTATTTGGCACTGATTCTCCATCTTTCTACCAGAAATGCTACATTAAAGGAGATGAAAATATGTAAAATATAACTTCCATGATACGATCCCATATAAACAATCCCTACACTTGCCACAGGAAAGATGCACGATTCTGAAAGGGAGAGAGGATATTCACAAGAGATTTTTTCAAACAGTGGTCCATGCTATGAAGACACTTGAGAAAAACTGGGTTGGGTGGATTTGATATGAGTCTTACAGGGCAACATTTAGTCCAGATGCATCAGAGGGTGAAGTTTTTGTGACTCTTGTATAATAACTTATGGCATGAAAAATGGATGTATATTTCTAGATAAAACTTGTTATTTTTAAAAGTTCAGAGGCTTGCAAAATTCTTACCGTATCTCCTGTCTTGCATATAAATATATGCAGTATAAGTAAATGTATACAAATGATGAAGTTGGATAGTCCAATTATAGTACCACTGGTACATCTATGTAGATTTCAGACAGTGAAAGCAAGTACTCGTATATGTTACTTGGGTAGATACATTCTTGCAGGATCCAGGCTGTAGACAGAATGTTATTAACCGTGTGTTTATAGTACTTCTCTAGCAGACTTATTTTTACTTTTTTTTGTCATACATGGTGTTTTAGGGTCCGTCTCATCATTATTAGTGTTATGCAGACCTTCTGTCCCTTAGTAATCTATACAGAATTGAATTACATTTCATGAATAATAACATCAAGTTTGACAGAATATTCTAAATTCCAGGAAATTTGGAAACTATATCTGTGCATAATAATACTTCATATCTCAGCTATTTCATTCAGCAGTGTCATAATGGATGCCAGGCTCTGAACTGAAAAAAGGCAGAGCAGATATCTCCATCAGCCATCCTCAATTTTGCAAATTAAGGTTTTGGCATTCACAGATTATTATTGAAATTAATGCTCATTGTGACCTTCCTTCTCTTGATAGAGTACAAACGTATGACTGTGGAGAGAGGATTGCAGACTGGTTCTCTGAGTTTCTTGGTCGTCAGTGTCACCTGATCAGGCAGAGTTCAGACTTCAAAGGAAATGCAACTCAGAAGCATGTAAAAGGTATTTGCTCTTCCATGATTATGAAAAATGGATCTGATATTCTGTCTCTCTAAATAGAAAATATAAGCCTGCTTGCCATGTCTTATGACAGCGGTGGTCAACCTTCCAGTTCTCTGGGCCACATGAGTGGGATGAGGCCAGTCTGTGGGCTGAATTCTGCATCCCAGGCAGTACCAGTCTGCAGGCTGGACTCTGCATAGGGATGGAAAACAGGGTCAGTCACACATTGGCTCAGCTCCATGCACCAGGTCCAGCTGCAGTTAATGCTGCCACTGCTCTCTTATGCCGAATTTCTGGATTCATGGGGAGCCCTGCAGGCCAGATGGCATTGCCCCTTGGGCTAGATTTGGCCCATAGGTCAGAATTTGAGCACCACTACCTTTTGCTGAGTGAAAATCTACTGCAATGAAGAGGAGAGATGTCCTGAACATGAAGACCAATAAGGAAGTGTATATCTGTTTTGCTGATCCTCCATTTATTAGATTTGAGGAAAAAAATCTTAGTCTTTTATACCATCCCAATACCCTTTCTATCTAAAAAATCTTATGGTCTTGGTGAAAACTATGGAAAATTTCTGAACACAGAATTTATTCTTATGTTAAAATTTATTATCCTAAAACCGAACAAATTGAAAATGACGCTAGAAATCCTAAATTATTGCCTCTTGTAAATTATTTTATGAAGTTGAGCTATATCTTATTTAATGAGTGCATTGTGCTACGTAAGTTTGATTCAGGTTTCTAATTTAATAGGTTGGACTCTTTCCATTGTATTATTCCAGTGAATAATTTCTTCAGTGAAAATGAATGGAGACATTATGGGGGTAGGGGTCATCATATTGATCGTTTGTAATCATTATTTAATAATGTTGGATTGATTTTTAGGTCAGGCACCCTCTGCAACCCTCTCACTTTCTCTTGTGAATGAAGCACAATATCTCCTGATAAACACTGCAAGCATTTTGTATCTGAAAGAGCAAATTATTGCAAGGTGAGATCTTTGTCAGCTGAGATGGCATATTATGTGAAGCTGGTTTTCAGAATCATGTCATAAGGTAAAAATATCAATGCATTAGTTAGAAATTGAAGTTTTTATCCTTCAGTCCCTCACAAGGATGTATTCTAAATGCCATGTTAAGATAGATCCCAGTCAATAAGATCATAGGAAAGTTGAGCTAGAAGGGACCTCACAATGTCATCTAGTCCAGCCTACCTGCTTACCTGCTGATCTCAATATTCAAGTTAAATACATGATTTTATCATATTTGTCAATAATCTGCAGAAAATTTTAGTTTATTTTTGGCCAAAAGCTACCTGCAAAAAGTTGTTTGCTTAGAAACCAATTTATGCCTACCTGTGTGTTCTAAGGTTCAGAAATGCAAAAAGTTACTCTACTTGCTTAGGAATGAGTCATTAATTAGATATCTGCTCTAAGATCCATGATTCCATATGACAGGGGTATCAAATTCATTAGGCCCTGGGAGCTAGATGAGTGGCACATGGGGCTAGTCCGGTGCAGGCACCACATGCAGCATGCACCTCAAACCACCCTGCACACAGCATTGCAGCATATGCCCTGGACTAGTCCATATACCACATGCCGCATGCACTCTAGACTGGCATACCATGTGAAGCATAAGCCACAGACCAGCCTACATCCAGAGTGCACCCTGGACCCATGTGCCAGGTGCAGCATGCATCCCAGCCGTGTATGCTGGTGTCGCATGCTCCCCAGGCCAACCTCACATGCAGATTGTGCCCTAGACCAGCCCCACATGTCATGTTCTGCATGTGCTGTGGACAGGCCTACATGCCATGTGTAGCATATACCCCAGAACAACCCCATGTGCCATATGCAGCTTGCAGGGCTGGGGCCTGGGCCAGTGTTCACTGTATGTAAGCCAGTCCGGGACATGCTGCATGCAGTGTGTGGCTCCAGTCCAGCACAACAAGCTGGGTGGCAGGGCTCCATGGGCTGGATCCTGCCTGTGGGCCATATCCTTGAAATCCTTGCCTTAACATAAGTGTTTAGATCAAGGGTGGGCAAAATGCAGCCCACGGGCTAGATGCAGCCTGCCAAGCCATTCTATCCAGCCTGTGGGAGCCCTAAAAAGTTTAGAAAATTAGTATTTATCTGCCCCTGGCTGCCCGTCATGTGGCCCTCGATGGCTTGCCAAAACTCAGTAAGCGGCCCTCTGCCCGAAATAATTGCCCACCCCTGCTTTAGATAGATCACATGTTAAAATGAATACATGACATCTTTTAATACCCTTTGAAAGTCCCTGTTTGTTGTGGAAAAGCTAAATATCCAGAGCTAAAAATCAAACCAGTGAAATATTTCAAAGAAATCTGTTTGTTGGGATATATTTATTTTGCTGTTTGTTTCCTAGTTGACTTTTGAATTATTCTTACAAAACCAGGAAATAAAGGAATCATTCAATCCACTTGGAGTTCACAGATAAGAAAACTTTCATGTCTAAATACCTAAAACCTATTTATGTAGATTTGTTATGAACAGCCTATCACCTCAACCAGTTTCCCACCCTGTGTTCCACATGAACTTCAGTCTCCTTCTAATCCATGGTCTCTGAGTCTCACAGATTCATAGATTCATAGATTGTAGAGTCGGAAAGGACCACAATGGATCATTGTGTCCAACCCCTTGCCCCTAACAGAAAAGAGGACTGAGGTCAGATGACCCCAGCCAGGTGACTATCTAGCCTCTTCTTGAAGACATCCAAGCTAGGTGAAAGCACCACCTCTCTTGGAAGCCCATTCCAGATCCTGGCCACCCTTACTGTGAAAAATTTCTTCCTAATATCTAACCTAAATCCAATCTCAACTAGTTTACACCCGTTATTCCTAGTCACTCCCTGGAGCGCCTTAGTAAACAGCATGTCACCTATTCCCCGTTGACCTCCCGTAATAAATGTATAGGTGGCCACAAAATCTCCCCTCAGCCGTCTCTTGTGAAGGCTGAAGAGATCCAACTCTCTCAACCTCCCCCTGTAGGGTCTTTCCCAAAGGCCACTAATCATGTGAGTGGCCCTTCTCTGGACCCTCTCCAGACTCTCCGTGTCCCTCTTGAAGTGTGGCGCCCAAAACTGGACACAGTATTCCAACTGCAGCCTGACCAGTGCCGCATAGAGGGGGAGCATCACCTCCTTTGATCTATTAGTCATGCACCTGCTAATGCATGACAAGGTGCGATTGGCCTTGTTGATGGCCTTGTTACACGGCCAGCTCATGTTCACCTTGGAGTCAAATCTGGAGTCAGTCACCACTGCTCTGTTCTCATTTCGTGTTATTCCCCTGTCCCATTTCACTGCCCTATGTCCTCCTCTTGTTCCTTATGCTTGGAAATCCCTCCCTCCCTTGGTTAACCGAGTGAATACTCTCTCCACACACAAATCCTTTGTCAAAGCATGGTTCCACAAGACCTTTCAGTATTAACCTGCTGAACCTAAGCTACACTCTGCAGACAAACCTGAACAGTGTTAGGTTTTGTAGCCCTTGATAAGATGAGAATTGAGGAACTAGCCAGGGATATAATACCTGCAGCAAACAGCTGTGTGGGACTACTGAGGTCCTCCGGTTGTTTTCTATGGCTTTTATTTAAAAAAACGTGACTTCTCTCTTTACCTGTTCAGGGCCATATAGGAGCTCCAGCTGAGTAGAGAAATGGTGCCTTTTGAAGTAATAGCCACAGCCAGCACCTGCATGGCTCACCCTTCATTCAACAAACTGCTGCTAATTGAGCCAGTTGTGAATTGCCCAGAGATGACTGCTCCAGGTGCTGCTGTATCTATAGTGTATATACATTTTGACATCACTGACTATAGTTGGTTTCAAAAGAAAGTAATGCCATTTGTACTGCTCTCAAGGGCTTGTGGCGAGAAGGGTAGCATTAAGGTGCAACCATATTTGTAAAGGAGCACCACAGGGGAAGGCCAAATAATTATGAAAAGCACTGAATCAATCTATCTCCCACCTATTTTAGTCATACTTCCTCCATAATGAGCCATTTCTCCTTTAGGGTCTCTTCTGGTTGGGTTTTAATTCTCTGATGGAGCAGCAGGGTTTAAAAGTCTCTCTTTTATAAGTGGACTTCTCACTCAGGGCCCTAAGCTCAGATTTCCTAGACTTCCCCATAAACTGGCAAAAGACTCCAGCTTTCTAATTTTGCATATACCAAATATAACATGAAACATTTGAAGTGATTTAGCAGCTTGCAATATTATGTGGGTGAAATCAATTTTCAGCTCTTTCAGTAAACTGCAGTTCCACTACACAGTAAGAGCACTGGCAATTTCTGAGCTTTGTTTGTCTCCCTGTGAAGGGCCCTTTGGGGTAGATGTAGTTCTGCAGTGCAAAAACCAGGCCTAAGCATCTGGAGTAGAAATGCAAAGGAGTGGAATGGGACCAAGAGCAGCTTGTGGACAAACTAGTACAAGATGATTCACTGCTTTTGCACATTTCCCACTCCTTCTCCCCCACCTGTCGGTCTAGAGCAGCGGTTTCCAAACGGTGGTACGCATAGCACCAGTGGGACACAGACAACCTATGAGTGATGCACACACAGGCGGAAGGCCAGGGTGGGAAGGGTGCACACAGACACACACAGCAAGCAGCAACCTGCTGCAGGTGACCAGGAATGCAGCTCAGCCATGTGTGGAGCAGCGCCCAGCACGTACGTGTGTTGGGGAGAAGGTATTGGCGACGCGTAGCGCCAGCTGCAAAACCAGAAGTGCACCGGTTGGCAATTGGCCACTGGGGGACCCATCCCATTGGCAATCTGGTGCGCACCCCCCCCCCCAGACTCAGGAGGCACCAGTTGCCCATGGAGGAAGAGGCATGGGAGAGAGAAGCGGGAGGCAAATTGAGGATCCCATAGTGAGGGTGGGAGTGGGGCAGAGGCAAGGGCTGGGGAGAATGGGGCCCCAGGGCGGACCAAGAGATGGTCAGAGCCCTGAGCAGCTTGTCCATTGGTACGGGGGGGCTCCCGCTGTTATGCGCTCCCCAGGGGAGGCATTGGGGGCACATACCACACAGATCTGTGTGTGGGGCGTAGGCGGGCTCCCCACTGTGCGCTGGGCTCTGTGCCCCATTGCTGTTGCCTCAGGAGCCACATGTGATGCCATGTGCCTCTTGTGTGCTGGCTGCACCACATCCCATGCCCGCCTGGCGGTGGGAGGCACAGCATGGCCTCGCACACAGCTCCTGAGGCAATGGTAGGAGGGTGCCCAGTGTGTAGTGGGCAGCCTGCCTCCACCTTGCATTCAAATCCAGGGTGCCCCCCATGCCGCCCCCTGGGTGCGCAGAGTTGTGGGAGCCTCCCTGTGCTTCTGGAAAAGCTCAGGTTGCCCCGGGGAGAGCCAGGGTGGCAGGAGGGGCTATGTCCTTCTGTGCAGGCCTTGCCAGGGAGCGGGGCAGGCCAGCCTGAGGAAGAAAACCCCCATGGGTCTCTCGGGTCTCTGCATGCCACTGCCATTGCCTTGGGAGCTGTGCAGAACACCATGCTGTACCTCCTGTTGCCAAGTAGGCAGGGAATGGCAGAGGATGAGGTGCAACCAACACATGGGAGCCACTTGGTGTCATGTGAAGCTCCCAAGGCAATGGCAGTAGGGTGCAGAGCCCAGCACACAGCAGGTCACCCACCTCTGCCCCATGCACAAATGTGGGGGACATGTGCTCCCCATGCCTCCCCTGGGGAGGTGTGCAATGACAGGGAGTCACGGCCCCCTTGTGCCCCTGGATGAGCCTCCCATATCTCCATCCCATGACCCCGTGTGGGTATCTGTGTCTGTCTGTCTGTATGCTCTGTCAAGCAAGCTTGCCCCTCCCACTAAAGACATCCCCAAAAGCATCTCTGGATGGGTAACTTTACACTGTCTTTTTTCCAGTTTACAAATGTTTTTTATGCCTATTTTGACTGATAAAACAATGTTTTATGATTACTAAAGATTTTGATGTTTTAATACAAAGTCTGTGTGTGAAAAATTTGCTGGTGGTACTTAAGGCTGTATCATTTTAAATGTGTGGTACTCAATCTGTCAGAGTTTGGGAACCACTGGTCTAGAGACTCTGTCATGACATTTGTGACACATGTGAGAAGAGTTCTTGCCATTCCACAATGCAGAGCTGCTTGGTCAGGCTGCCCAAGAAAACCCAAAGGTACACCGCTGCTCTGTATCTGTTACTAAATTGCTGGATGTGGCCTTCCCAAATATTGACCTTCAAAGCTTATTTTTAAAAGCTGTTTTTAGGCCTTTTTAGTTTTGTGTAGGAAGCAGTATTTAGAATCTTTACATGTAGGTTTGTCTTAATAAAAATGTGTTAAGATTTATAGACCCTCTAAATCTTTAATTCAGTTTTAATAGTTTCTCTCTGTGTTAATCTTCCGTAGGTAAAATTTAATCTTCCTCTCTGCATTTGGCTCTGGAGAGGTGATCTAAAACAGTAACAGCAATTTAATTAAAGATTAGACCATAACCAAATGTTGCAGTACCACATACAAAGAGCAGTATCTGAATCTCTGATACCCCTGGTGTGGCTTGCCTCCATTAAGACTAACAAAATCCCCACTGCGCAACCTCCCACATGACAGTTCTTTATTTGAAATAGGCACTTGAAGATGCACATGATTAATTTTAGTTTTATTTATTGGATAGAAATAAAAAGAGAAAAAGAACCTGAATTAAAATCCTGGATCCAACTTCTAGGTCTATAACTAGAATTCATGGGTTTGAAATCCAAAGCCTTTTGTACTCCCAAACTTCCCCCTGCTCCCTTTATTTTTGTTTTCACTTGACTTTTGTCTCTGTTTAGTTTTACATGGTTGTTATATCTTTTAGCATTCTAAAAAGTGCCCAGCATAATTTGGGTATCAGTAATAAAGGTATTGATAGTCTGCCAGATAATAGCAGATTTCACTTTCATTCAGCAAGGGTGGCTCAAAACTGTTACAGAAATGTAGTTATCCATGTTAGCTGGAAGTCAAGTAGAATGCAGGGTAGATTTGCCCCTTATAAACTAACCAGTGTGTATGTGTAGCACATGCTTTCATGAGCTGAATCTCACAGCATCTGATGAACTGAGTTGCAGCCCATGCAAGCTTGTGTTCTTTGTGTGTGTACACCCACCCACAAAAGCACACACACACTTTGGTTAGTCTGTAAAGTGCAAGTCTACTCTGCCTTCTGCTCACAAGTGTTATACCAGGGTTGAGAGACTTAAAGAATAAATGTTGCTGATCTGAGATGCTTATCAGTTTTGTCTGCCAGTAAGCTATAGCATATGTGGTTACAAATGCTTTTGTGTGCATTCATAATTGGCTTCGGAGGGGTAGGATGACTGTAGTCCCTATGTTTCTCATTGTTGCATAATCAAGACATACAACCCACACGTCTTCTACGAATTAACCTCTAATGCAGGGGTGGGAAAAATATGGCCCATGAGCTGCATCCAACCTGCCAACTGCTTGGATCCAGCCTGTTTGGAGGGGCACCCACCAATTGATGATATCTGGCCTGGCTGTCCCTGCAGCACTCCATATGGGGGGCAAGCCCCACCCACTCCTTCCCACAGCAGCCCACATAGCACTCCCTCTCACACCTCCCTGTGCCCACCAAACAGCACTACCCTAGCTCTGGCCAGCATGCAGTGCTTTCCAGCAAGGCTGCTTCCAGTGTGACTGCAGTGACCCACGTATTTCTTGACTCCCCCTGCCTCCAGTGGCTCCTCCTCCTATCCTTGCTGCACCACTCAAGGCAGCAGGCAAAGCAGGCTAGCCATGGGGATATGCACCAGGCAGCAGATGCCCAGCCAGACAGGGGGGAAAAACCAGCCAGGCAGCTCCTGTCCCAGAGCATGGGGCTTCAACTTCATCTCCCGGCTGCCTTCCACCCATTCAGCTGCCCACAGCTCACTGCACCTGCACCTCCTGGGCAAAGGTCGCCTCTCAACTTTCTCTTGCACCTGGACTTCTTCAGCCTCCGCAAGAGAAGGTAGAGATGCGACCTTGTGGCTGCCTATAAATTCATCATGGGGGCGCAGAAGGGAATTGGTGAGGCTCTACTCACCAAGGCACCCCTGGGGGTTACAAGAAATAATGGCCATAAGCTAGCAGAGAGCAGATTTAGACTAGACATTAGGAAGAACTTCTTCACAGTTAGAGTGGCCAAGGTCTGGAACGGGCTCCCAAGGGAGGTGGTGCTCTCCCGTACCCTGGGGGTCTTCAAGAGGAGGTTAGATAGGCATCTGGCTGGGGTCACCTGAACCCAGCACACTTTCCTGCCTATGCAGGGGGTCGGACTCGATGATCTATTGAGGTCCCTTCCGACCCTAACATCTAATAATCTATGAAGCTATGAAACTCTGCTGCACAGGCCCCCAGCCCCCACTGCCGCCCCCAGCCAGCTCCCAGGACATAGAAAATGGGCAGCCCCCCCGACCCTACACACGTGCATATCCAACCCCAATTTACACCCCACCCACATACTTACCTCACACCCCCCACACACATCCCACACCCACCCCATAAGCACATCCCCCCCACACACACTCCATTCCCTCCCACACACCAACATATGCCACACACACCCACACACTCCACCCCACATCCTCCCACACACAATATACAAAAGTAAGACTTTATTTTGAGCTGTTATGCAATCAGTTCTATATACACTACTCAAAAAAACAAATCACAAGTTGGACAAAAAATATTTTTTGAAATAAAAGTAAAATATGTTATAGTAAATGTCTGATTTTTAGTATATGATTTTTTTTATCTGTAATTTGTTATAATGATATCCAAAACTCCTTAAGTGGCCCTCCAGCTGAAATAATAGCCCACCCCTGCTCTAATGATACAGAAACAGCAAATGGGAACTTGAGAAATCTTTCATTTTATGGAGCATTAAGCAGAGTCAATGACATACCCATGGTATTCACCTAAGCCACTATTCTTTTTTTAGGAAATAATCTGCATAATTGGCCTTGATTTGTGGGTCTCATGCCAAATTCTCGCACTCGTCCCAACTGATAAATACACCACGCTAATGCAAGTGCCAGTTGTTTGCTGGCCTTTCTGTATTCCCGGAAACAATTGCCTTGTTCCCCTAAAAGAAAAATTTCCTGTCTGTTGCTGTGGCAAGGACAACCTGTACCCACTGTTCCTACAAACCTCTCCAAATGTTTGGGGCTCCAAGAGTGAATAAAATAAATGGAAGAGAGCCAGAAAAAGCTTGTAAATGTTCATGGTACTGAGAAGCAGAGTGAAGTATGTTATACTTACCTTACACAAATTCAGTCCTGTTAATTTCAGGTAGTCTCTCCAATTTGTTCAGATCATTTTTAATTCTGATCTTATTCTTCAAAATGCTTGTAACTCCCTCCTTCCCATTTTATTGTCACCTGTAAATTTTACTTTTATGTTAGGGTTTAGTTTATAATGGTCTCCATGCCAATTTGAACAAAGCAGGTGATTTTCTTAACTAAAAGTGCCAGTTTTGCATCACTTGATGCTAACATTTTAGTAAAATTTTATTTTTTGTTACACATTTTCTTCCATTTTAAGTAAAACCAAACAATTTGAAAGTTCTAATATCAATTTTTCTAAAATATTTTTCAAGTACTCTGTTTTCCATTTTTCTATCTGTACTTCAGTGTGACTTGTTTCAAAGTCATCAGATCACTGGTTAAGTTGCTTGTGTACATGTTAGCATAGACACAATTAAACAGCCATCTCGCACTAAGCAGGATACAGGGAAAATCTCCTCTGCAGTTTCTACAACTGCCCTGTTCTTTGCAATAGCAGCTTTAGAAGCACAAGAGAGGAATGAGATCTCAAGGATATAGCCAGCTTTTTCAAATCAGTATAGTATCTTCTTATTCCTTCTCCTTCACATGTGTTCATCTGCACACAGCACAAATCCATAATGCAACAGCTAAAATATTATACTGAGGCATGCATATCCCCATGGGTTGTTTTCCAAAAAATCTTATTTTCATTCAATAATGGTTCCCCCCACACCCACCCCACCCCCCCCCAAAAAGTAGTACAATCTTCTGTATCTCAAAGAGGGGGGGGGATGAAAATGTAGAGAGAATTTCTCTCATAATATTCTTTTGTTTGTATTCCTTTAATTGCATTAATTATCTTATAAAAGAAAAGTCTTGCAGTGTCATCCCAGCAGCTAGACATTCAAGTGGGCAAATAATTAGTGCAAGCTAATTAGTACAACTTATTTTCTTCTGCTCTATGAATCCACGGGGCAGATTGGAAGAGCCACTAGAAACAGAACAGCTGATCCAACGCTTCCGTGCCAACATTGTGATCAACACAATGGAGCCTTTTGAGGAAGAGGAATGGGCTGAGATTTCAATTGGTGCTCTACATTTCCAGGTATAGTCAGATTCCAACTGTCTTTTCCTGTTAGGTACCATCCTTCCCCTGCAAATGAAGCCATTCATTGCAAGGCTAAGTTTGAGACAAGCAAAAGAATCAACACTGGTGAAGTTCACAGTTCTGCAAAGGAATGCATCCTGTGATTTGTGACATTTTCAAGTATACCCACAATGTAAACAGTCCGATCTATCTAACTTTGTCACATCGTAAAACATTTCTCAAATCACAACATTCCCTTCTTTTCGCCAAATGAGAAACATTTTTGCCATTATTTTTTCACGTAAAATGTACAAATCCTGGTGCATTCACAAAAAATATCAGTCCAAATTCACAGAAGGAGGCCCCTGATTCTTCATGCCTTCATTTTTTGGATGCCCATCTTGAGGAATAAGGTATCTCAAAATGGGTATTTGAACACACAGTCCATTTCTAGTAGTTAGAATCTTTGCTACTATCAAAGGGAAAAGAAAACACAATATATCAGTGCACTGTTTTTATTTTAATGCTATCTGGCTTACAACAACATTCCTTACTTAAGAGGTTTGAGTATTAGTAAATATAAAAGGATAATTGCAAAGTAGAAGTTCATCTAAAGAATAAAATGTATTATGAACATGCATTTTCACTGTCTTTTTAATTTCTAAGTTACCTGATCATGCTATATAGACATAAATTTTAGACAACCCTCTGCTGCAGTGTTCCCTTAACTTATCCTTAATGAGCCATTCAATACCAGGAATACCACTCCAAGTATCTTGAGACACTGTTTCCCATACTGAGCAGCGTGTCTGTATGTGACTTTTTTGTCTTGGTATTCCCTGATCATAGTGCATCTTTTTCTTTTTTTGTGTGTATATGTATATATAATTTGCATGAATCTGGACTATTGTCATCTTTGACAAATTGAGTACAAAGGCACAGCAGATATTTATAAGAGACTCTTAGAAATTCAAAATGTTAAGTGTTATTTCTCTCTTCTAATTTGTGTTGTTTCTTCTTAATTTTGTCAACAATTGTATTTATTTTCTTTAATGAACATTATTGGTCAGAAGAAATAGGTTATGTTTATGAACAGAAAGATGGCAAGATTTTCTTTATTATTTATTTCTATTTTAACATTGAAAGAGAAGGTTCTTAAATCAAACCATTTTATCTAAACTGTAGCTGTGATGTACTACAGTTATGAGAAGAGAACATTATATGAAAAATATGCATGACTTAGTTTCCCTATTCATTTTTGCAATATGAGTGGGACTGAAGGTATTAATTTCTTTTCTGAGACAGGGAATAAGAGATGGGTGCTAGTAATGGATGTGTCTGGTTTCATACAAATGAACTATCAAGAACTTTTATATATGAAAGGTCCATATGCGTGCTAAGAATTAATTTACCATAGTTTAGCTCCCACTGGATGTGTCTACACAAGATGTGTTACTGCGCAGCAGACTAATTTGCTGCTCGGTAAAGCATCACCATCTACACATACACGACAATCAGGGTGCAGTGGACAAATTTACTGCACTGCCAGATAGTCCTTTCAGATACAAGTGGTGTCTGGTAGCACAGTAAATTACTGTGCTTAAACACATGTGTAGATGGTGACATCAGGATTAATTTACTCTGGCTCAGTTTGAACCAGAGTATCTTCAGTTGCATTAACTGCACATATAAATATGTCCATTTACTGTGAAATAAGCACCTTTGTACTTGCACAGTTACTGCAAAGCAGGTATTTCATGCTAAAGCCGTTTTGCATTGAGCCAGTTGTAGAACCATAGAATCATAGAAAGCAGGGCTAGAAGGGACCTCAGGAGGTTATCTAATTCACTCTTGTGGTCAAGACAGGATCTTCCCTATCTAAACCATCCTGTGAAGTTTTCTTTCTTTCTTGTGTCAAACAGCACTGCACAAACAACCCTCTTGCTCAACTACCAGACACAATGTCTGAAAAACATCAAGAAGACCCTAACCTTTCACAGGCAAAGCAAGTAGATGTGGACACTGTCAGTGTTCTCTCCCAGTGCCACTCAGCCTCTTTGCCTGGCGGGCTGAACAGGCAGTGCCCCAGCTATGCATGGGCCAGATCTGGCTGGTCATCCTGATCTGGTGCCAAGGGTGGGCATGGCAGGGCCCCATCTGGCCGTGCAGAGAGGGATGGGGCCAGCCCAGCCCCAACCCGGACCCTCAGGGGAAGAGGGCCTCACACAGTTTCTGAATAAGGAGGCACTAAAGGCATATTTCTGTTCCACTTATTAGATGTGGAACTGGACTTAGGTACCTAACTTCAATCCTATTCCATCTTGCTTGAGTCCCTGAAAAACAGTTAATGCGAAAGGTAAGTGGATCCTATATGCCACAAGGGATGTTTATGGGATCAGTTACCACTCCATTATCCATTCTTCATTTCATAAGCAGTCATGAAAAGGCCTAAACCCATCCCCCAATCTAGAATCATGGCTGGTTAGTAGATTTTTCCTACCCACAACTGCAAATGTTTTGTTAGAACATGTGGGATGGACGTATATCTCATCGGCTGCTGGCACATGTTAAACAAGTTTTGCAACTGAGGTCTGAGGAATGTTGTGCCCCATTCTCAGAGTAGCCAGATGTGCATGGCAAGTTGTATGATTCTGGGAATGGAGCATAAAATTCCTGAAACCCCAGCACCGAGACTGGCAGCTGCCAGGGACCAATGCAGGAGGGTACCTTTACCCACACTTGAACTGATGCATCCACAAGCACCTGGGCTCTGTGAGTCCAATGTTAGGGAGCCTTACTCTGATGTCAGGCTCATGGCATCCCAGATCTTTAAGAAGCTGGCATGCAGCTAGGAGCCTGGGCTGAACACCCTCCTACTTTAAGTTTTCTGGGTGCCATAAGCCTAACATCAGGTAAAGGCTCCTCATGATGCAGCTGAAGATAAAGGAACTCTCCCAGCCCCTGCTGCTCATGCCAGGTTAAAGAGGCACCCTCACTGTAATATGGTTATATACTTGTAATTGTATTTGTGTATATATAATCATATATGTAACTGTAGTCACCAGCATGGTAATATGATTGTGCTGTTGGTTAAAGAAACCACTGTAACAAAATAGAATATATTTCAAATAAAGCATGTCCTCAGCAATAAAAAAGGAGTGGAATATATAGGCCATGAGGCAGAACTGGGGCAGTAGGAGTTAAAAATCTAAAGTTCTGTGGGAGGCAGCAAGGTGTATCAGAAAATTTGGAATCTGTTCAAGAACATTGTGAGGTAGCTAGAATCAGTGTGAACTGCTACAACAGATAAGAAAAGTATGTAAGATAGTATGGTCAAATCTGAAATAATAGATGCATATGGATTCTGTAATTGATTAAGTTCGTTAGTCAGCAAAATGTAAATGTTCATGGCATCTAACATGATTGATCATGAGCAAAGCATACAGGACACTACAACCAAACTTGGTATGGTAGATATGGGAGGTATCTAGGAATGCTGTAATTATAAAAATCATTAATCAGCAAATTGTAAGGTTCAGTGGTGCGTTTCTGATGCTAGTATAAAAAGGATGAAATAGAAACACACTTTAGATTTGTGTTTAATTCTGCACTTCCCCTGCTGTCAGCCAGTCCAATCACTTGGCTGATAATATAAATAAAGGCTACATTTGTTTATACTCACTAAATATCTGCATGCTTTTTCAAACCATGTTGTGGGATCTAGCTGGTAGGGGTGTGCAAAGCAGGCCCTATTCAATTCAGATTCGGCCCAAATCAGGGACAGTGATTCGATTTGTTGATTTAGATCACTGTCCCTGATTTGATTCAACCAAATCTGAATCTGAAGATTTGATGCTGATTCAGAGAATCAGTGATACAGACACAGCTTTAATTCTTTTTTCTACATACCTCGAGGTACCAGGCATGGCTCATGATCACTGTGATGCTGGGGCAGATGGAGCGTCCCACAGGAGTGTGGGGGGGCCCTCCATGTGCTCAGTGGCAAACCCAGAAGTGGACTGGAAGTACTTCCAGTCCACTTCTGGGTCTGTCGGGAAGTGCCCAGCCCCCCGCGCCCCTCCCAGCTTGGCGATCAGCCATGGGGGAACCCTGGGTACACCCACCCCCCCCCCCCGC